GTAAATCAAGTTGCTATGCAACCTGCAGGTATCAAAAGAAAACAAAAGAATGATGAAGAAAACAAGTTATTAAAAGAATCAAAAAAACAAAAGATGTTAAAACTTAAGGATGAAGTTATATCTGGTCCAAGAACAAAAAAAGAGAATTCTGCTTTAAAGAAAAAAAATTCATCCAAAAAGAAAAACATTAGAATATAAATTTTTTTAATACAATATTTTTGTTTACCACTGGTAGCTGCTTTTAATTATTTTTTGACTAGCCCATTTTTAATTCTCATAAAAAAATCTTTCCATTAATAAATATCTCAATAAAAAATAAAATTAACTAATAAGAAAAAAATGTAATCAATATAAAAATTTAAAAATTTTTAAATTTACTTTCTTTTCATTAAATTAAAAGAAAAATAATTGATTCTTACTAAACAAAACTTTCACATTTTTAAAATTTCAAAACATGATTTAAAAATCAAAAATTAAACTGAGTATAATTTTAAATACATGGAAAAACCGAAAAATTAAAAAGCTGCATTTTTTTAGCTTTCAAAATTTGATTAGTCAAAACACTTGTTTTTTAGTTTTAACACAGACAGGTTTCTTTTCTGTTTAAAACCAAAGAATTTTCATTTTATTTCAATCAATACATTAAATTTTTATTTTTTATTAAAATCTAAGTAATTTTTTTTTATTTTTTTTTCCCCTTGTTCTAGTTTAACATTTAATCACTAATACAATAATTAATACAGAATAACTGATAATAATAACAATCAAAGTAATATTATTAATAGTAGCTATATTAATGTTAATAATTGTTAATATTAATAATAATATAGTCTTTATTTTATTATTGTTGTTACTATAATTAATAAAATGTGAGTTGTTATAGTAACAACACAATTGCCAAAAAGTAAAAAAAAAAAAGCTATAGAGCTAAGAGGTGAGTAAAGTAAGTACTCGGTGAAAGTAAAGTAATAGGTTCATTCCATGCCAAATGGACTGAAATTTTTTGGATTCCAACATGGACCCCCTCAGATTTTGATGAAACTTTGTGGGTTAGTTTATACCAATGAGAAAAGCAGTTCCTAAAAATTTCAGCTTACAATCTTTTGTGGTTTATGACATATCGCAATTTGAAATTTCTAATTTTTCCAAAAATTTAAACTTCGATAGCAAAAACATGTTTTGTTCATACTTTGAAGTTCTGTAATTAAAAAACGAAATTTCAGAAAACCTTCTAGTTTTTTTTATTATATACAACTGTAGTCTTACTTTATTAAAACCTTGACATTGAATTTTTTAATTTCACATTTTATCCATAATGGCTGCCTAAAAAACCTAAAAAATTGTTTGTAGATATAAAAAGTTGATTTTTGATGGGTCAATATACAAAATTAGCAACTTAAGAAGCGAAAAGACATATCTTTTTAGTTTCTATATATAGTAGGCTTAAAAAACTGCTGATAAGATACGATTCAGTAAGAAATAATGGACTCTTAAAAATGGCTCTAGGGAAAACTTTAAAAATTGTGCCTTCCCTTTAAACTACCGGTAACCTAGGATCAACACTGATTTTTGTAGTAAATTTTTTTTTACTGATTTAACAGACTTTAATAAAGTGAATTCAGAAAAAAAGTTAGTGGGTACATGGGGAAGTGACAAAGTCAGAACAATGAAGTTGGCACAAAATGCATTAAAAACGATAAAAATGTATATGTTGATGTATTTTAGTTTTCATTATCTACTGCAATGCAAAAAGTATATATATATGTAAAAGTATATCACAATCATTACTAGAAATAAGCTATAAACTAAGGCTGAATTAAACTCAGTTTTTAAATAACCTTAGTTGCCTCCCCTCCCCCTGTCCATTTACTTTTTAACATACATATTTTCACACAGAACTCATCTTAAAAGAAATTTGTTATTGAAGGTTTCACTGATTATTTTCAAATGCATGAAGTGTCTTTATGCACAAAATAAGAATTAAACACACACATTTAAAAGCTGTGAAATTATAAACAAGTTATTGGGTGTACTTTTTATCTTTACTTTATATATAAAATTTATCATTTTGTGTCAAAATTCATGTAAACTTTACTTTACACTTCAAAAATTGAAACTAAATAAATTTTTTTAGATAATAATTAAAAATAAATGGCTAGTGCATCTTTAGATCTACCTCAGTGTTGCATTGGAAAAATATTAAATAAAGATTGTCATGAAGGAAAATTTACCAAATTCAAGAAAATTAAATGTTTTGATGAATTAACCAAAGAGGATCAAGAACTTGTGTACTTACAATGTAAAGTTAATCATATAAAAACTATTTGTTATCACCATAAAAAGATCTTCTTGAATAGATTTGAGTCTTCGTATGATGGAAGCATTTGTTGTAATCCATTTAACAAACACAAAATTAAAATTAAAAGTATTTAATAATAAATTAACTTAATCAGTTATTTCAAAGATAAAGGCATAATTTAATGTTTTATTATTTGTTTCTTTTTAGAATCTGTCAGAGTAATCAGTGTTGCAAAGGAATTTGATTTGATACCTGGTCATAAGCTTTGTACAGAATGTCGTAAAATATTGTATTTAAAAAATAACTAAAAAGATTATGAAAACGATTTATATAAAAATAAAGACAATGATTTTAATGAGATTCATTTTTCAAAAGAAAACTTTAATTTAAGCATTTATAGCCTTGGTTGCTCACCTCTAAAACTAGTAGCCCATAAAGACAGGGTCAGCTATGCAAAAAGAAAAATGAACAAGATCCATATTGCCACCAAAAAGAAAATAGCAACTGTTTTAGAAGTTTCTCTCGATTTAATAAATGATGAACCAAAAACAAAAGTGCTATGTTGTGACAGTAAACAAGACTTGGACTCACTAATGGAATTAATTAAAGCAAAGTTTGATAATTCTTCAAAATCAGAAAAACTTAAATTACTAACATTGGTTACTGAGAGTTGGAAAATTGAATATATACAAAACTATTTTTCTGCTTCCCAAAGAATGATAAAAACTGCAAGACATTTAAAACAAATGCATGGCATACTGGCAGAACCGTCTAAAAAAGAAGGAAGACCTAATAGTGAGAAAGTAAAAAATCAAGTTCATGAATTCTATTAATCAGATGAATACTCTCGAATGTGTCTAGGGAAAAAGCAGTATGTCTCAATCCAAGTCGATGGTAAAAGACAACATTTTCAAAAAAGACTACTATTACTTAATATAAAAGAACTTTATTTAGAGTTTGTTAAAATTTTCTTAGATGTCAAAATTGGATTTTCTAAATTCTGCGAACTTAGACCAAAGTGGTGTATTCCTGTTGGAGGTGCTTCAGGTCTCCACTCAGTATGCGTTTGTGAGTACCACCAGAATGCCACTTTTAGCATTAAAAGTACCGGATATTTCCGACTATTAAAATCTTTTGACATTAGTTGTATGTGACTTAACAAATCGAAAAGGCATGCTGTACAGTTGTGATAATTGCCTAGATACTGACACACTTAAAGAGTATCTTACTACTATATTTGATAAACATAGCATTGAAGAAATCACATTTAATCAGTGGCAAAAAGCTAACAAATTATGATATAGTTCCAATAACTCTTCAATTTGTATGATTTTATTGAAAGAGCTTGTCAACAAATAGACCAATTAAGAGACCATCACTATATAGTCAAAAATCAAGCAGCATATTTGCAGCATCTAAAAATCACATTACCAAGTAATCATATTTTAATATTATTAGACTTGTCTAAAAATTACAGTTTTTTAATTCAAGATGCAGTACAAGGTTTCCATTGGAACAACAGCCAAGCAACATTGCATCCTTTTGTTATTTACTTTATGGAAGAAAATAAGATAAAATGTAAAAGTATTTGTATCATCTCAGATCATTTGCAACATAAAAAATCAGTTCATTGTTTCATTCATGAAGTATTAAAATATTTAAAAGAGTTAATACCCTACTTTAACCATAGCATTTATTTCAGTGATGGTGCAAGTTCACAATACAAAAATTATAAAAACATATATAACTTATGTTACCATAAACAAGATCATGAGGTATCTGCAGAATGGCATTTTTTTGCTACATCACATGGAAAGAGTGCTTGTGATGGTGTTGGGGGCACTTTTAAAAGACTTGTAGCAAGGGTAAGTTTACAATCACTAACTGATCCTATCAATTCATCTGAGAAAATGTATGATTGGTGCAGACAAAATATTAAAGAAATACATTTTCAATACATTTCAAATGATACAGTTTCATTACATAAATTTTAAATTAGATAAGCGTTATGCTACTTGTTCAACAATTTCAGAAATAAGAAACCACCATTGTTTTATACCAAAATCATTAACAACTTTACAGATGAGAAGGGTGTCATTTGACAATGTGTTTACTAATGTAAATATTTCAACAATGCAGCTGAACTACACGATTCCACTTGCCTCTCTTTCACCAGGAATTTATATAGCATGTGTTTATGATGAAAAATGGTTTTTAGGTAATATTGCGGAAATATCTGAAGAAAAAATCAAGATGTCCTTATAAAAAAAATCAAGATATCCTTATAAAGTTCATGAAGCAGTCTATTTCCTCAAGCACTTTTACTTAGCCACTTAGAGAAGATATTTGCTGGGTTCCAATTACACATGTTCTATGCAAAATTTCATCTTTAAAAGTGCGATCAGCAATTGGTAGTTGCTATGAACTATCAGCTCATGAAAAAACTAAAATACTACATTTGTACAATAGTATATATAATAACAAAATTATATAACAACATGGCAAAAACCATTATTAATTTGATCAATCCAAATTTTTTATTAAAGTAAATTTGATTGATTCAATTTATATGTTGACATTTTATTAAAAGATAATGTTTTTATTACATAATATATATTACATAATAAACTTGCGTATTGTGATGACAAATCAAACAACTCTTATCAGTTGGTATAATCTGTAACCTAAATTTAAACGATGATAACCAAATAAATTGGGAAGGGCGGAATAGCAAATGCTTTGGGAAAAATTATAAAATTTATAGTCAGAAAATAAAATAGTAAGAAAATAAGTGATATGAAAACAAATATATGTTAGGCAGATAGTAAGAATAAAACAAAAAGTCTTTATTTTATATATTTACCTAATGTGTAACTTTTATATGTTCTATCTAACTTTACAAACTAAATGTCACAGCTTTTATATGACACTGCTTAAGGTAAAATGTTCAATAACTAATTAATAAAATTAATTAAGCAAAAAGTTCTTCCTATGATGAGAATGTTCTGTGTAAAAATATGCATGTTAAAAGTAAATGGATAGGGGGAGGGAGGCAACTAAGGTTATTTAAAAACTGAGTTTAATTCAGTCTTAGTTTATAGCTTATTTCTAGTAATGATTATGATATACATTTATATATATATATATATATATATATATATATATATATATATATATATATATATATATATATATATATATATATATATATATATATAAATGTATATCATAATCATTACTAGAAATTTTGCATTGCAGTAGATGAAAACTAAAATACATCAATATCTATATTTTTATCGTTTTTAATGCATTTTGTGCCAACTTCATTGTTCTGACTTTGTCACTTCCCCATGAGTACCCATTAATTTTTTTTCTGAATTCACTTTATTAAAGTCTGTTAAATCAGTAAAAAAAAATTTACTATAAAAATCAGTGTTGATCCTAGGTTACCGGTGGTTTAAAGGGAAGGCACAATTTTTAAAGTTTTCCCTAGAGCCAATTTTAGGAGTCCATTATTTCTTATTGAATCGTTTCTTATCAGCGGTTTTTTAAGCCTACTATATATAGAAACTAAAAAGATATGTCTTTTCACTTCTTAAGTTGCTAATTTTGTATATTGACCCATCAAAAATCAACTTTTTATATCTGCAAACAATTTTTTAGGTTTTTTAGGCAGCCATTATGGATAAAATGTGAAATTAAAAAATTCAATGTCAAGGTTTTAATAAAGTAAGGCTACAGTTGTATATAATAAAAAAAACTAGAAGGTTTTCTGAAATTTCGTTTTTTAATTACAGAACTTCAAAGTATGAACAAAACATGTTTTTGCAATTTTTATATAAAATTTTTCGAAAAATTAGGAATTTTAAATTGCGATATCTCATGAACCACAAAAGATTGTAAGCTGAAATTTTTAGGAAATGCTTTTCTTATTGGTATAAACCAACCCACCAAGTTTCATTAAAATTTAATCAATCGTTTCATCAAAATCTGAGGGGGTCCATGTTGAACCTTGGTTCACTTGGCATGGAATGACCCAATAATAAAAAAAAATCTTTTTACTTTCATTATGTGAATGCAGGTAAATGCTGTCAAAGATTTCAATCAAAATGTAAAATGTTATTTTGTTTTGTTTTTTATGTTTTTAATCAAATACTTTTAAATAGTTTATAAAGTATTAAAAAAATAAAATACTGTTAAAGATGTTGTAAATAATGTTGTAATTATACATAAAGAGCACATAGGAAAAAGCTGCATTTTCACATTAAAAAAGTTTATGATCATTTATTTAAAGTCAATAAAATCTTTTATTACAAGTCTTTATATAAAGTAAAGAAAATTAAAATTCAGGATAATAAATTTTTTTTTAATTATTCAAAGGTTAGTCTAAAATAATTTGTTTTTATTTACTTTTTCTTAGCTTTATATAGTGGTTTTTTATAAATAATCATTATTTATTACTCAAAACTTTGTAAATGTGATTTTGCTGTTTTTTCCTGTGCTGTCAACATATTTATAGGAAGTACTGGAATAACATATAGCATTGTAATTTATATGAAACTTAGGAATTTATACATTTCTTTTTTCACATTATTACAAATTATTTTTATTATGAATTTATTAGGAAATAAAATTTATAATGGCTAGTGTGTCCAGGTTTCACAATCGTGTTCATAGAATAAATACTTAATAATTATACATTTCAGATTTATATATACAGAATGCAAATAAAATCATGTTATAAAATAATTACTACTAATTTTAAAAATACTTTTATTCGAAATCTCATCACCGGAAGAACTATTGTTCCCATTAAAAGCAATGGAGTTATATCAGTACATGGAAAAGATTGCAAAAAGTTGTTACAAGGTATGATTACTAATGATGTGTCATTGTTGGACAATAATCTTGTAAATTGCATTTACTCAATGGTTTTAAATGTGCAAGGGAGAATATTGTATGATTTGTTTTTACATAAACATGAACATGGTTATTTAATGGAATGCAATTCATGTTTTAAAGATGAGTTGGTGTCTTATCTGAACCGATACAAACTGCGATCAAAAGTTTTTTTCGAAAATCGAGATGATTTAAATGTTTATGTTTCATTCAGTTCTGATATGTTTGATCATTTTGTTGTAGATCCACGCCTACCAAAACTAGGTTATCGCAATTTGTCTACAAAAAAAATAGTTGAAAAT